CATGTTCTGTATGAAAGGATAAGCAGGATGGGGCAGGAGCTGGTGCCAGGCCCTGGGCCTCCCCCAGCAGCTCTGGTTTCAGTAGAGGGGCCAAAGGGAGCTGCAGGCCCAACCCAAGGCTCTCTGGCTGTGCAGCTGGACACTACTTACAGAACACAGTAACTTAAGRATGACAACTAGACACAACAGCTTTTCTTGTCTGTTCAATTTTGCATTTAAAAAWTGTTGCAAGTATAGATCTGAAATGAGTTAGACCTCCCCAGAAAGTGATGCTACATATTTATGCAAGGATACTTTTTAAAATGAGCAAATGGCTCACAGTAGAAGCTAAATACACATTTGTTAAACACATTTTGGGAGCCCACAAGTGTGAAAAKTGTTGATTGATATTTCTCCTAGTATCACGAAGTCTTCTTAGGATGGCAAATCATTCCCTCTTCATAAATATTAATGGGGCTCTCCCTGTATGCAATCTGTAGGCTGGGCCCCCAGGGATTACAGTGATGTGTATGCCCTGCCTGTTGGCCTYAGGAAGCTCAGAGCTGCAGAGATAGGAGAAGATAAATGAATGCAGCAACAAAGGGACAGGGCATTACTGAGAACATTCTGGGACAAAAGGACAGAGGAACATGGAAAAAGACACTTCGGGCCGTCTGGGTGAGYTGACTTTTCTCTCTGGGCCCATTTCCCCTTTTGTAAGACAAGGAGTTCAGAAGGGATAAGCAAACACCAACYCCATGTTCACAGCCCTCCTGGCCTCCATCTTGGGAATTCTTTGAAGAACAAGGGCCGCAGCTCTCCTTTTTCGACTCTTACTCCTACCCCACATTGCTKCTCCCAAGGACTGGCTTGTGCTGGTAAAATTCATCTGGCTTGAGCTCTGAAAGAAATCTATCAGAARAGGTTTTTCACATACCTTCCCTAAAAGAAAGAGAGAGAGAAGAGTCTGGAGTCCAAAATAACCAGCTTCTACTAGAATTTCCCAGCATCATTTACCAGGGTTCCTGGTGCCTCTCCAAGTCCAGATGAGAAAGAGAAGGGTATTCCCCTTCCCCAGCACCAGAGTTTGAATGATCAAAGTCTAAATGATTAAAGGGTTCTTGGTGATTCTTCTGAGGCTGTTCTCCCACTTAGCAGATGGGAAAAATAAGGCCGAGGTTGGGAGGAACTTTCCCACAGTCCTTTAGTCAACCACAGAGGAGGAGCTCAGGACGGAGTGAGATGAGAACCACCAGGCTGCGTCCTGYTTCAACCAGATGTTGCCCGCTGTAGAACATAAGCATTCTCATCCTGCAGGAGCCAACCGCCAGGGAATCCAAGCCTGACAGAGGTGAGAGTGAAGGAAGAACAAAAATTCTGTAGCCCAGCAAAAGGCCACAGTCTAGCATCCACCTTTGGGAGAGAATTTGCTTCCAGAGTCCATAAAGAAAGGAATCGACAAGGGTGAAGGTAAGACTCAGAACAGGGCACGTGGGTGAGCAGAGATGGCAAAAAGAAGCAGAGGTGGGCCAGCACTGAGGCCTTCCCATTATGGTCACCCCAGAGCTTGTCCCTAGCCAAAGGTCTATCAGCCAAGCTGTCCCCTGGACCACCTCATCCACTCATGAGTGTCCCTGGCTGCCCCACCATCAACTGAAATCCCATTGCCAGTCCCAGACCATCGGAAAAACCCCAGGGACCTCTCAGTGCCTGTAATTCAAAGAACTTCAGAGGTGGGTTTTTTGGTTGGTTGATTCATTTGTTTTGTTTTTGACTTAAAATCTGGAAATCTATTGAGACACAGAAACTCCCTTCAACAAAACATTCCTGGATTTCTTTTCAGATTTTTCTAACTTCACAGCATCCCGGAAAAGACCAGGTCAAAGATAAACTGAATCAATGCTTCCTGGTTGTGGTGAAATCATCCTTAACTGTTGTTACCTGAAGCAAACATTTTCATGAACAGTGTGGAGCATGTTAGTCGGCCAGGGAACATTTATTTCTTGACAGTCCCCCAGTGCCTCCAGCTCAACGGGGGAACAACAATAAAGTCAGACACAGCTTTATTTCTATGGCTTTGTCTTATGTAATTGATGTATTCATATGCTTAATTTCATGTGTTCCTTTCATTTCACGAGCTTGTCTATTCTACTAGGACAGAAAGAAAAAACCTTGTAGACGCGTACATTTTTCAAACTTCCAGTTATAATAAGTATAAGAAAAACCAAGGTGGGGAGGAACAGAAACTCAACACAGTTTAATCATCACACTAATGCAAAAAATACATCTGATAGGCTATTGTTTTGATAAAAAATTCTTTGTTTTGTTTCTTTGTTCTGTTGTGGATATCAGTTCTATTGAATTTGGGTTGAAGAATCCAGCACTATTTGGTCTTTTAATGGAGTAGGTTGCAGATAGCCTGTAATCATGTGTTTAACTAAATTTCCTGGTTTATGGGCTGGGGTTGTGGCTCAGTGGTAGAGCGCTTGCCTAGCATGTGTGAGGCACTGGGTTCAATCCTCAGCACCACCTTAAAATAAATAGATAGATAGATAGATAGATAGATAGATAGATAGATAGATAGATAAAGGTATTTTGTCCATCTACAACTAAATAAAAAAATTCCTGGTTCCTGAATCAGAAGTTATCATAAGAGATTAAGATGAGCTAATCAGGAAACCTGATCATAATTGTTTTTACCAAATATAAGCCGTGAGCATGACAGAGAGAGGACATGCCTGCTGGTGATGATAAGAAAGAACATAAGGACAAAACGAGGAACATGTGGCATTAAATAGGAGGAGTGGCAGCCTATTCTGGGGCTCCCCATTTTAAGGGCTGTTGGCAAACAGGGGTAGGTGCAAATAGCTGTAGTTGTCTGGCTGGATTGATTCACTTCTCCTACATCATCCTGCTCTGGGGTGGSTATCAGGATATGAGGACCTTGTCATCTCATTCACAGCTAAAAGCTGGAGTGTGCTGATGGCCTACCCTGGTGCAAGTGTTCAATAAATGTGGGGGCAGGGGGAGTAAACAATAATGTCTGCAGCAACTGCAGCCCACCCTGCATCCCCTCACCCCTCCGTGGAGCCTTGCCTTCCCCCACCTTGGACTCTCCAGTGCCTTGTCTCCCAACCTGCTCCCATGAGAGACTCCTCCTCATCCTCAGACGGAAAGATAGGWCACCATGACTTATAGACTAGTCTCTTGATAAACCAATGTCCAGAATTAAGAGACTGAAGAACAGGCTGGTGTGTTGGGCTGGGTTAAGGAATCAGGTGGCTCCTACCTACTCCCCAGGCCAAGCGGTGGTCGGCCTCTTGGAGGCAAGTCTCCGGGGATTCAATTGTACTCCACCATCTTTGACACAGAATGGCCCTTTAATTATCCAGTCCTCCTGACCATCAGTCCTTGCCTTTTTGGCAGGAGCCACAGGCTCTAGAGACTGTGAGACCTGTCAGGCCACTTCAGTGTCAAGAGTGTGACAGCTGGAGGACTGGGGCAAACTGAAGAATGAAAGTCATTCTCTGCCTCTGAGAACAAGGGGAACAGCCATGGGTAAGAAGAGAGCCTACTGAGGCGCCAACATCTCATTTCCCTGTGTTTGCTTTCTGGTTCCTCATTGTGGTCCCATGCTCTGACCTCCGATCTAAGGCCATTTTTAGAACAGAAAAAAATAAATCTATTCYGTAGAGACGAGTGGTTCCCAAAAGGTTTTATTTCCTTTCTGAATCAGGTTCAGCCTCACAGAGCTGCACTTTCAATTTCTGTAGCCGTACTGTTCCCTGACCACTCAGAGGTCCTCCAGAGATGCCCCCCTCTATTCCAAGAGCCCCCAAAATGATGTCGAGTGACTACAAATAAGTTTTTGGTACTTTCCAAAATTAAACTATTTCCTTTGGTAAATTTCCAGCGAATGAGCTCACTAATCTGAAAACAGGATGTGGCACATGAAGAGTGAGGTCAGACTGCCTGCCTTTCACTTACACTGGCTTAGGGCAGAGAGGGAGGGCCGGGCAGGAGAGAAGTGGGACCAGAGAATGGCTCTTATAGGCCCCACATCCTTAAGCAACTCCATTTCAGGGACTGGACTGAGAATCGATGAATCTTTAAGTCAGAGATGGAAGGAACTTTTTGAATTCTTTGGTCTTAGAAAAGGCCACTTGTGGTCAGCCTCCTACAGGATTGTCTCCAGGAGGCTCCTGGGACCTCTGTCCTCAAGCAGGTATCTCCCTTCCAGGTGGAACCCCGAGGTCCTCCTGTGCCAGAGCCTCTCTCCTTCCATCTGTGCTGCTGCCCCAGCCTGTCTGCCTGAAACTGGAAGACAGCAGCTCAGCCTCTAGCGGGTGAGAGACTTAGGTACACCCCAGGTTAAAAGAGAAAAGCAGAAGGTTGTTCCCAGTTCTAAAACTCCACCTTAGAGTCCAGACAAAACAGGGATCATAACACACAAAGGGAGTTTCGTGGGTGTCCCTAGGAAGGTCAAACAAAATCAGCAAGGTGGGCGGCCTCCTCCACCCTGGGCAGTCAGATCCGCAGGAATTAGAGGTCTGATAAAAGAGGAGACCTGTCAAATCAGTGATTCGCAAAAAAAAAATATGTTTTTTACCGTTTAAACTCATATTCTACACCAACGCTAATTTCCATAACTCTTTTGATTCCTGTACATAAATTCATGGGGAACAAGTAGCCGTGGGTGTGCGTGCACACCCGCGGTGTTTGGATTAAAAAGCAGAAACGATTCCTCCGTACAACCAGATTTGTAGATGCGCAGCGCCTAAGGGCGGGCTGCGTCCTGATTGCGGCCACTGTCTAAACTTGGGCGAGCCTGGCAGTGCCCCGGGCTCTCTGCAGGAATCCGCGAGCCGGTGAGACTGGGGGGGGGGGGGNGGGGGAATTCCCTCCGGCGAGGGGCCGCGGCGGGTCCAGATCCCCGGGGTGGGCTGGTGTCCGCGGCGGGCGCTGCGCTATTAAGTAAGAGCCGTCGCTGCACTGGGCTGGCGCGCGGAGGAGGGGACTGACTACTGCCMACGGGGGCTCGGTGCCGGCCGCCGGCCTCAGTTTCCCCATTCCGGGAGCGTCCGCCCGGCCCCMGGGGCGGCCCCGGAGCGAGCGGGGGCTGTGGGGACCGCGGCTTCCGCCACCCTGGCCACGTCCTGGGCCGCCCACCGGAAGCTCCCGGCCGGTGGCGGGGAGGTCGTGGCGACGCGGAGGTTGGTGGCCTTCCCCCCCAGCCCGGGACCGCGGGGAGGCTCCGGCCCCGCCAGCCGCGCACGCCCCAGCTAGCGCTCGCACGGGCGGGGCTCCCCAAGCGCCGGCCTCGCCGCGCCGGACCCCGGTACCCGCGCTGCCAAGCCGGTCCCCAACTCACGGTCCCGGCCCTTCCTGCGGGCGCCTGGGGCACCCCTGGGCCCGTTTGTCCTGAAACAGACTCGGGCTGGTGTTTCTGCGGAGCTCTGCGCGCATCTGAAATTGTGACTGCGGTGAAACGACAGTCACCTGCCCTGGGGGGCGTATGGGCAGGGCTGGGGGCGACAGACTGGCCACCGGCATCGCGGAGCCGGGCCGCAGGGGCTGGGGCGAGGACAGCGGGGCGCGGTGGGATCGAAAGCCCCGCGCCCGAGGGTGGCCCCTGAMACTTGCCAAGGGAAGCGGAGTCTGGGCCCAGCGCGCCCCAGGACCAGTGGGGAAGGTTGGGGCACGAGACGCTGGGGACTCCGGGTGCGCGGATCTCCGTGGGTGGATCCACGGAGAAGAATCGATGGAGGCTCAAGGTGGTAGGGAAAGTGGGCCAGGAGACCGACGGAGAGCAGCCAGAGACACAGGGAGGACTCCATCCAAAGGGGTGCGGGAAGCCAGGAAGGAAAGGATTCCGGAAGGAAGGGCCGAGAGCAGTCAGTAATCTTGGGGAAATGGTTCCCAGGAGACTCAGGCACCTGTGTAGACAGTCTTTTCTAGAAGGTCTGTCGAGAGGGGAGAAAAAAAAATAGTTGTGAGAGGAGGATTTGGAATGAGGGTTAACAATTTTAAAGCATATGTGATTAGAGCAAGGCTCTGGGCCCAGGCATGCCCTGGAAGCTACTGAACTGAGGACCTTGTGCTTCCTAACCTCTATTAACCTGCGCTAATTAACCCGAGTCACTGATTAACCTCTCCCCTCACTCATCTGTAAGATGAGGATAATGGTGATAATATGTGCCTGGGRGGGGGCATGTGAAAATTAAATGAGATGGTGTATGTAAAATACTTAACAGTGCTAAAAAGTAATGCCTTTATTTTTTTTTTTTTAACTTATTAGAGCAGCTCGGGCATATTTTGATGCTGTTGGGATGGTGCAGCTAGAGGGAGTGGATGACAACTGGCCTGTCAGAGGGGACAGAAAGGGATGGAAGCTGCATGGAGAGAGAAGGCTTGGGTTCCTCTTCTATCCCAAACCAAGGGAAGGAGGGGCAGGTGGGAATGGAGGAAGTTTGCATGTTGGGGCATGCAGTTAAGTGTCTGATAGTTTGAACTAGAGTGGTGGGCTGAGAGTGCTGGGCAGGCTCAGGTGAGGGTGGAAGTCCTGATCTACACTKCGGCCATAGGACACAGTGACCTCTTTGCCAACAGCCCCTGGAAGCCCAGGAAAGGTGGGCYGTTGGGTTTATCGAGGGCAGGATGACAACATCCAACCTGCCTTGCCCACTTGGGAGGCTCAGATTAAGTTGACAGATGTAAAAATACTCTGTGTAATTTACCATTTTCATCTTCTTCCCCGATTTTGAGGAGTCAAGGGGCTATGGCCCTAATATGAGTAAAATGTCAAAGCCTTCTGAGCACATCACTTGGACCATGAACTGTGTTCTACTCTCACCCACCAGCTCATTCACTCATCATGAACATTTGGGTGAAGCGGTATCACTATCCCCATTTTTATAGATGCAGAAACTAAGGTTCGGGGAAGTAAAGCCCTTGTGTAAGGACTCTTAGCTGGTAAGTGGTAGATCCAGGATCCCAACTCAGGTCTGTCTGACCTCAAAGCCCCCGACTGGAAATCACTTTGAATATGTGCAGAACCCCAGTGGCAACTCAGTGGAATAGAYAGATGTGCAAGGGTCATCTTTTCCATTGATCAGCGAGGGGAGCTCGGCTTGGAGGCTCTACCCAGTTGCCTTGCTTATGACTCTTCTGTGGCAGAAGAACTCAGACCCTGGAGACCCACAGCCCTGGTGCGAATCCCACTCCACCACTAGAGACTCTGTGACTCCAGACCAAGCATCTTGCTTCTCTGAACCTGTGTGTGACTGCAGAGGCATTCCCAGCAGGTTGTTGTATGGATTGGAGGGAGCAGACTGCCCAGCACACAGTGGAMGCCAGGAGCACGGTTCCCAYGGTCCACTTTTCCTGCAAATGTGTCTACATTGGCTACTGAGCCCCACTCCCTAAGATCTTTATTTGTTTAGTGCTTTCTTCTCAGAGCAGGGAAGTGGTGGCGCCTGACCCGAGCATGTAGCCACCTATGACTTCCTGAGTGGGGCTGTGGGGAGAGGGCCCAGCGGAGTCTGAGGTCCAAGGCCTTGGACTTCAAAGAAGGGGAGGGCTTTGTTTGTCACTGTTGTGACTGGTGCAACATGCCACCGGCAGGGTTGGGCTGTCAGAAGAATTTCTGCTCCCTCTTCTAGGCTTAGTCACAGAGTTGCCGAATCCTAAAGCCCAGAGACAGACCACCGGTTGAAACTTGCTTTTTTTTTTTTTTTTTAAACAGATGGGGTAACCAAGACCTACAGTGAGAAAGTGACTTTTCCCTGAGGTCACCCAGGTAAAAGTGACAGGGCAGAGCTAAAGGACCTTGAACCTGAATTTGGGACCAGCCTCCAGGACCCTGGGGATTTCCACCAGAAGGTGAGCACCCCACTGAGAATTTTACACCTGCTCAGAGGTCCCAGGGGACAAGACAAGTGGCCAGCTGTGGCTTCTACCGATATGCCCCAGGGAGGAGGCAGAGGAAGCCAGCAGCAGCCTGCGGTTCTCAGGGGAACTCTGGCTCCTGAAAGTCTGTGACATGCTCCTTTTTCTCTGACTCGTTCTCTTGCTCTTTCTCACTCTAAAAAAATGACTGGAGACTCCTGAAGCCTTTGGTCACCATGCAGGGGATTTTTCTCACCACGAAGGGTAATTCCTGCTCCATCCCTGCTGTGACTCAGCTGTGACGTTGAACTACACACAGCCAGAGAGGAAAAGATCAAGTCACCAGAGACTCTGCTCACCAGAGAGGGTGGCCCAGGCCAGAACCCTCCTCTCCTCTCCCCACGGACTCCACAGGGCTGCCTTCTGGCCTGGAGCAGCTTGCACGGCCCCCGAGATGGCCTCCAACTCGACCAGCAGCCCCCACCAGGCCCCTGATGAGAATGAGTTTCCCTTCGGGTGCCCTCGCACTGTCTGCCAGGACCCACCAGAACCCAGGGCCCTCTGCTGCACAGCCTGTCTCTCTGAGAACCTGAGGTGAGGGGACGAGAAACAGAGGGTGGGCAGGACGAAGGTGTTGGGGAGGGACCCCTGATGGAAGGGAGGCTGAGAGGAGCCAGGGACGTGGGACAAGTGACTGTACCTCTCTGGGCCTCAGGGTCCACACCCTTTTCTCCTTGATGCTGCCCCTGTGGCTGTGGGTAGAAAGAGAAGTAGCCACAGAAAGATTTCAGCCCCACAGCGTCCACACTCCAGGCCTACCTCTGCACTCACTGTGGGGCCCGGGGCAAACTGCCGGCGTCTGTGAGCCCCAACTTTCTTGTCTGTAAAGCAGTTTTCTGCCTTGCAGAATTGTTACAAGACCTCATGAACAATCCTCAGATAAGCTCTTCTAATATTGAGCATTCAGCTCCTTGGTGAATGACAAATGGTTCAACAAATATCTCTCAGAACTTGGCTGGAAACCCCTTAAAGGGGACAAAGATAAGATAAAAATACCTATCTATGTAGACATTTATATTTAAAATTTGAACAACTCAGAAGTGTATGACATCAATAGTACATCAGCATCTTGCCTTAAGCAACTGTTATGCACCTGCTGTATGCCAAGTATTCTTTCCTTATGCCCTCAGAACAACCTCGAGGGGTGAGTACTATTATAATTCTGTTTTACAAATGACGATCCTGAAGCCTTGTAGAGAGATGAGGTCAGCTTGCCCCAGGTCAGTTTCCTGGCATAAATGTGCTCTCGAGCAGCCACATGCTGTGACCATGACCTTTTCTTTGGGACTTTTCAGCTTAAGGTGGGAAACCTGAATCAAGCTGAATGAAAATTTCAAATGTGACAGAGAAGAGGGAGGCAGGAGGTGTGGGAAGAGGGCAGAAGGTCCCAAGAGTGGTAAGGGCAGGTGGGGAAGGGAAAGGCACAAAGCCCCTGAGCACAAAGAGGCTTCTGTCCTGCTCAGAACTCATTCCACCCTTGGCCCATCCACAGGCCTCCAAGGCCTCAATTTTCTCACCTGTAAAATGGGTTAAGTCAGTAAAATTCACTGAGTCAAAAATCACCTGGGGACTTCATAAAGACACAGGTGCCCATGTGCGACCCAAGTCAGAATCGGACACCCTGTCCTAACTCCACGCTAGATGATAACTGAGACCCCCTTCTTGATCTAATAGGCCATGATCATCTGTAATCACCAGATATAAGAAACCAAAACGCAATAGAAAGTGCTGAGAAGAGTGACTTAATTACATGTCCTCAGTCCCTGTCTGAATTCCCAGAGCCAGTTATATTTTGGAATTCAGAATTTTTTCACATTTTAGAAAAGCAAGTCAGTGTATTATGTAATTCTTCCAGCAGGGATAGGGGCATCACCCTGTAATCAAGCACTTTGATGTTTCTACAGTGAAACATACAAGTAGTCACACCAAGTGGAACGAGCAAGGGTCAGTTCAGGTCAGGTTTGGCTGCCAAAGAATTTTCCCACAAACCACAGAAAAACACTGGTGCCCCAGGCTTTGGAGGTTTGAGAATGGCGGCTCCAGGATTCTGGACCTGTGTGACCGCTGCTGTCAGCTACCATGCTGGGCAAGGCCTGGGCTTTTGGAGCTGCCAGCAGAGTGAGTGGTGCAGGGAGTGGACGCCACACTCAGGGCATTTGCTCRTGTCTCCCCAGGAACAGCCCAGATGGGATCTGTCCCAAATGCAGAGGGGACAACCTCCAATCTGAAAGCCCAAGGAGCCTTCTGACTCAGGAGAAGGTATGTTGGCACAGCCAGGAAAGAGCATCTGTCTGTTCTCTTGATTTGTTCAGGTTGAGGCCGAYGAGGCAGCTGCCCAGCTGTCCCTTGACAGGTGCACCCTCTTTTATCTTGAGTCTGGACTGAATTCACTTTATGAGCAGCGAGGAGATGGGCGTTCACCGTGGGGAAGTGTCTTCCCCAGAGCCACCCGGCTGGTCTGTGATAGAATTAGGCTGAGAACCACGGTCTAGACCAAACTGTGGCTCCGGTGCCAAATCCGGCCACCACCTGTTTTTGTACAGCTCAAAAGCTGAGAATGATTTTTATATTTTTAGGTGGTTGAAAAAAAATCAGAAGAAGAATGGTATTTGGGGATCCATGAAAAGGACATGAAATTCAAACCACTGTGTCCATAAAGTTTTATTGTCCATAAATAAAGTCACACCCACCCATTTACATATTATCTGTGGCTGCTTTCTCCCTGCAAYGGCAGAGTATTTGCCACAAGACTTTGAAGCCCAAAATATTTACTCTGAGGCTCTAATGGAATAAATTAGCCAGCCTCCTGATGYAGGGATAGACCGTTATCAGCCCCCCCCCCCTTAGGCTCTGCCAAGCTGTGCTTCTAGAAGTAAGAGACACCTTTAAAATGGGAGGGGTGAGGAGATGTTCTCAGACACCACCATCTAGAACTCTGCCCCTGCAAACTAGTAGAACTCTCCCGGGTACCTGCACAGCCCAGAAGTTTCCATATCCCATCCACCGGTTTATGAAAAAAATTTTTAAAATAAGCATGGTGGGCTGAGGTTGTAGCTCAGTTGGTAGAGCGCTTGCCTAGCACATGTGAGGCACTGGGTTTTATCCTCAGCACCACATAAAAATTTTTTAAAAAAGGTATTGTGCCCATCTGCTATAAAAATATTTTTTTAAAAAATAAGCATAGTGAATTTTTATAAAGCTAAATTATCTCCATTTATAGAATCAACTGTACTCTGTGTCCTTCCTGTATATGTCTTTGTATAAACAAAATTCAATAGTAGATGATAGTTTTTGGGTAAAACCTTTACCAGGTACAATAAAAAGATAGCGATCTTTATGTTAATGTAATCTCCCAAGTAAACAACAAAACTCTCGTGGGCCTGTGAATGCAAACAGGTAGGAATCGCTGCTCAAAATCCAACCCCCTCATTTATTTGTGAGACCCGTGGCCCACTGGGGAGTCTCAGTGACCATCCTCACTGTCCCTCTGTGGGACAGAYGTCTGGCTGCTTTTAGACAAAGCTCCCTTCTGTGGAGATCAGGAGTCTGGCATTTGAAGATGGTTTGGGATCATTCGCTGCATGGCTGGAGGCAAATCCCAGGCGCTGTTTCTTCYTCTGTAAAGTGAAGATGTCAGGTTGGTTCTGCGGGGCCTTTGCGGTATCTGTGATGTCCAGGCTGTGGGTCAGCAGCTGCCCGGGAGCTCTTCTTTGCATTTGCTGAGCCAAAGGCAGGTGTGTCTCCCTTCTCTGTGCTGGTTGATTCCTGATGTTCAGAAAGTTCGGGGGAAATTCCTGCCCTACCCSGCTCTGGCTTGGAGGGCTTTCCCGAACCTTCCTCAGCAGCCCTCCTGTGGCAGGATCAGGTACACTTTCTTGGGCCATGTAGGAAGGATTAATTTGAACCACTGATGCATGGGAGAACTTCCTGAGCCTCCTATTTGGCTGTCGTGCTGGAGAGAGGCTTAGACTCTGGGGACTCCGAGGGCCCTGCAAACGCAGTGTGCAACTTGCTGCCTTGAACTAGATGGCGAGATGTTTGTGGTGGAGCGACGGGTGTTCCAACAGGCTCTGGGCATAGGGGCGAAGGCCTGTTAAACGCAGGCAGACCCCCCTCCCTTCTGGCTTCCCCACCCAGTGCAGCCGTCTCTGCCCCACTGAGAAGGAGCTGGTGGGGCTGAGTCAGTGGGCTAATCACCTGCACAAAGCCACAGAGTGGAAAGACTAGGGACTCCTCTGGCTCCTGCCCCGATGGGAATTTTGAGGGACTTTTGACCAAGGGAAAGCAGGTGGTTATCAGTGGATACTTTGCATCTGTGGTGATGCCTAAGTTGGCCTGTGTATCTGGGGGAAGCCAGAAAGTGGAGACAGGGTAGAGGGACCGGGCTGGAGACTAGGGGAGTGAGGCCCAAAGGTGCCCACCCCTGCAAACATGCCRTCCGCTTATCAGCTCATCTGCATCCTCTGACTTATTAGATGAATACCTCCCTCAGAGGGGCCCAGAGTCCTGCACCGGCACCTGGTGTAAGTCACACGTATTAGAGGGTTGACGTGACCTGGTTAGAGACTTGGTTCTTGCCTGGAGTCATCTTTCTGAAGAAATAACAATGAAGTAGGGGACGAACCAGTGAGTGGAAAAGAACTCTGTGTGCCAAACCCCCACGATGGGAGTGTTTCTCTCGCTCCCTTCCCTCTCTGACCCATTCACGAAGGTCAAAAGCAAGCTGGCATCTGATGCCAGGGGCTTGCAATAGTGCCTAACTTTTTCTAGAGTCTGAAGATGGTAGGCGTCTGAGCTGTCTAGTTCAGTGTCCACACCGTGCCAGACCCCTGCCGTGAGGCTTCATGTCCTTCCAAAGACAGGGAGCTGCTACTCCATGAAACCTCTCCACGCTGGGGACTCTGACAACTGCAGTGATTTTTTTCTTTACTTTTGCTGAGCTAAAATCTGTCTCCTGTGAGGGCCACAAAAGGCGAGTCAGCCTCCTGACCCAGGGCCCTTCCTGATCTGGGGTAGACACATACCACATCCCTGTTGCGTCTGTATGCYTCTGGGGCAAATGTCCTCCATCTGTCCCCTGAAGTGTGATGCCTGGACATGAACCCCTGACAGTTTACGTCTGTAAGCTCACTGACCAACGGGCATCCTGTGTGGTGTGTGGTGGAGGCATGTTCTCTATGCGGTCTCCAAATGGGGGCTTACCCATACCCCCAGAATGTGTTGTGCGTGCGTCAGCCTTAAGTGCTAGAACCCACTGAGTGCTGTGGAGGTCAGGATTGGCTAGGGCCACCTTTGACCAGGAGAATCAGGCAGGGCTTCCTAGAGCTGAGGACAGCAGAGAGGGAACTGGCCCAGTTATAGAGGAAGGGCAGGAACAGGCAGCAACAGACAGCCAAGTCCCCCTGGAGCTAGGGTGCCTCCTGGTCAGCACCAGCTGAGGTGAGCAGAAACACACACACACACACACACACACACACACACACACACCCAGCCCTGGGCCTCCAGATCCTCGGCCAGTCTCTGTGCCCAGTCTAGGATGGTGGGCAGCACCTGGCACATGCAGAGCCTCCTTGTTCCACACAGTGGCTGCACAGAGGTGGCCCTTCAGCTCCTGGCACCCTCCTAACACATTCTTGGGGGCCCCCAGGTCCCTGAGTGTGGGCCTCCCACTGGGATCTTCTGTGACCCGATCCCAAAGGGCCCGGTACCAGGCTGGTGGGGAATACCCACACCCAGAGGCTCCTCAGACACAGAGGGCACGGGCTCCCCGGGGGCTGGCCTTCTGTTTTCTCTCTTTCTGTTTCCTCCTCAGAGGAAATTCCACTGCCAACTTTATGTTGAGCAATTTGCAAGCAGCGAGGCCATTCACGTAGGGTCCACTTGTGGCTCCAGGCGTACCCTGTTATTCCTCGGCAACCCTCTGTGCCACTGGTCCCTGCCTTCAGGTGAGGTGAAGGCTCCTCATGGGGAGAAAGGACCTGGATGTGGCCCTCAGGCTCTGGGCTGTACTCACCTGGCCCTGTTGCCTCCTGTGAGTCCCTGACCCCCYGTCCTCCTCAGAGCCCTGTCCCTCTCGCAGTGCTTAGGCCCCCAGAGCKACACAGCTCTGAGAGAGCAGCAGCCTGGCCAAGGCTTGGAACTGTGGGAGAGAAAACCCAGACTCAGCTGGCGGCTCAGCCCAGTCTCAGTCTACGCCAAKGACGGTGCCRGGACCCACRAGACAGCATGCAGAAATGCCTCSGTCCTCTGTCATTGCAGGACGTTCTGGGTACRCACACATCTAGGGACGTTCTTACCCATCTGAAGAAGTCTGATGGAGTTTCATAGAATTAGTTGTCACAAGCTTTGAGTCGTGGGGGTTAAAAGAGATGCATGTGCTGCTGGGTWGAGGCCGGTCATCTGCAGGAAGAATGTTAACACCAGTCATGCTACTGCTGATGGCTCACATTTATTGAACGTGGCATCAGGCAGAAAAATGTGCCCGGGACGTCGGCATCATGATCCCTGAACCTGTCSATGGTGCTCGTGGCTGTTCTCTACTAGGGCCGCCTTGACTCAGCACCAAGACGGGGTGGGCAGACCCCGGGCCTTTGTGCTCTGAGCTCTGGAGGCTGTGAAGTCCCAGACAAGGTGCTGGCGGGGCTGGATTCCTCCGTGGCCCCTCTCTGGTCTGTAGGTGGCCATCTTTACTTRGTCTTCTGCGTCTCAATGTCTCCTTCTGGTAAGGGTACGAGTCCGATAAGGCTGCACCGTATGACCTCATTTTAGCCTGTGGCCCTGTCTCCACAGTCTGACATGCTGGGGGGGGGGCAGCTAGAACCCCAACATGTGAATGGCGGGGGCCCCTCAGCTCATGGCAGTGGCAAAAGAAGGCTGTGGCTGTGATTAGATGCAGGATTCGAGGTGGGGCAATTACCCCGGGCTCCCTGCGTGATCACAGGGGTCTTCCCAAGAGGGGGATGAGAGGCAGCAAGCCAGGCTGTGCACCGGCTGTGAAGGTGAGGGAGGGGACCCCAAGCTACAGCTTGAAGCTACGGCAGCTGCTGGAAGCTAAAAAAAATGAAGAAAATAGACTCCCCACTACCACATCCAGAGGAAACGCARTCCTGCCAACACCTCAGTGTTAGGACTTCTGGCCTCCAGAACTGTAAGATAATAAATTWGTGTTGTTTTAAACCATTAAACACTCATGGTATTATTTTGCACTAGATAACTGATGCTAGCACACAAGTGTAGTATCTCATTTAATCTTCAYRATGACTCTAAAGGCAAGCACYGTGATCCCCATGTCACAGATGGGGAAACTAAGACAGAGAAGTTAATGACTCTCCCAGGGCCACCTGGCTAGCATGTGAAGTGACAAAACAGGCTGCAAACCCCAACCCACACCCCTAAGCCCTTACTCTCTGAGGAGGGAGTGATGGCTGATGAGACAGGGCAGCCTGGCTGATCTCCGAGGCCCCTCGAGTCACCCTGCCCCTCCTCCTCCAGGATTCGACTGGTCACAGCCCACACCTGTACACACACGTCATAGTGCTACCYTGATGTCCGCTTGGTGTTTGACCCCCAAGCTGGCCTCCCTGCTCATCCACACCATCAGGGCTCTGCCACMGAAGGACACACCTCACTCAGGGGAGGCTTCAGATTCCACTGCCAGCGTGGCCACTGTCACCTTCTCACCCCTCTAATGACTCACTCCAAGCTTCAACCTTAGAACTGCAGAGGCTTTGAATCGTCGATGTGCGGAAACGCAGACCCCGAGATCCCCCAGGTCACGTGCCCAGCTCCCGGGCCCCTCGGCATCAGGCTCCTGGTTCCCACCTGTCATCAAAGGGACCTGTGAGGAGAGGGGGGCTCTGTTGCTGGGGGCTCTCCCACGAAGCATCTGTTTTCTTTTTTTGGCTGGGAACAATTTGTCCCTGAAGCCCAGGACGGTGGGGCAGGGTGGGCCCCGACTGGTGGTGCACAAGCCCCAGGCCAGCTGCTCATGACGCCCACAGCCCTCTGCTGATTTTCCTGGTGCACAGGGATGACTAGTGTCCTCCTCTGTTCTTCCAGATCCCCTTTCACTGTGCCCCACAGACTTGTTCCTTCAAATCAAAATAATAAGCTGTTGAAAAGTTGAGCTATTATTTACATGCAGTCAAATTTACTTGTTTTAAGTATACAGTTTGATGAATCCTGGTTAAAGCATAACACCATCTTAACGGTAGTTCTGCCCTGGGAAAAGCTGTCCGTGTCCTTGTGCTGTCTCCTCCCAGCTTGGATCAGCAGCCCATCTAATTTCTACCACTGTAGCCTGTTTTTTTCTAGAATCCCTAAGAATGGAATCAAGGGCCCTGGTGGGGGGCATGCACCTGTAATCCCAGCAACTTGGGAGGCTGAGGCAGGAGGATCACAGGTTGGAGGCCAGCTTTGGCAACTTAGCAAGATACTATCTCAAAAAACTAAAAGGACTGGGCAGGTAGCTCAGGGGCCGACCACCCCTGGGTTCAATCCCTAACATCAGGGGAAAAAAGAGAGTAGAATGGTATGTCATCTTTTGTGTGACTTCTTTCATTTAGCGTAATGTTTCAGGGTTCGCCCATGTTGATTCCTCTGTCACTATTCAATTCCACCTGGTGGATGAGCAGTGTTCTGTAGTATGGATGCACATTTTATTAATCTGTTCACCACTTGGTTACATCAGATTGCTCACAGTTCAGGTCTGTTCTGAGCAGAGCTATCAAGAACATCCTTGGGCTGGACGTAAGTTATCTTAGAAGGATGGTTCAGCCTGATAAGATGCCTCCACGGTGTCTGAACCCAGCAGCATGAGAAAATTCTCCTCGCCAAGACTCGATCTCATCACAGCTTAATTTCATCTGCTCTAGCAGGTGGGGAGTGGCATTTCACCGTGGTTATAATTCGCCTTCTCTGATGACTGGTGACACAGAGCGTCTTTTCACAGGCTGATTCGTCACTCATACGTCTTCTTTGGTGAAGTAGCCATTGAGTATTTTGCCCCCAGACCAGCGGGGGAGACCACACAGTGAATGATGAGCACAGAGCCGTCCGTGTACCAGGGGTCCTGGTGCTGCTGAAGATGACAGCAGGGGCCCTGGTTCTGTTTTGAAGGAAGGTCATAAAAGGGCTGCGGCTCAGAGGGTGGAAAGGAGTTGTCCAGGCAGAGGGAACAGCATGTGCAAAGTCATGTGCCCAGCCTACCTCCTGCCCTGATGGAGCCTGGTGCTGTACTGAGAGCACAGGGATCCCCATAAAATGTCCTCAGTGACACCGTTATTATTTCCAGGTTCACCCTGAGGTGGCTAAGGCTGGAGTCGGGTGTCCCTTTGGTGCTATTGGCTGCTCCTTCAAGGTAAGCATCTGCGTGTGTCCACTGTGGTCGTGTCCTCTGGGTCTCCCTTCTTGAACCCCTCTGACATTTTCCTATCACATCAAGCTGCTCCTCTGGATGTCCCTTACACCAGTGACTTTCCAAATGACAGGTCTCTCTGTTAAGTCATCATAGTGCTCGGGGAAGTTCTTAATGTCTCACCCAAACTTTGCTGCAGGTCATGAAAGTGACCCCCACGCCTCTCTCCATGGTCCTGACTTGGGATTGTGTGGCAGGGGAGGATGGCTCTGTAGAGGCTGGGAGGCATGTGGCTCACCATGGGCGCGTCTGGTGCCGGGTCCTCCTGAATCCCTCCCACGGCTCCGAGAGCCACTCCCCTGGGCTGGGGAAATGGGTCTGACTTCCTGGGTGCCCTTTGATGCCAGGACCCTCCTGGCCCATCCGCCCCTCTCCAGTGATGGCCTCTGTCTCGGCAGGGGAGCCCGCAGGCTGTGCAGGAGCACGAGGCCTCCTCCTCCGCCAGCCACCTGAGCCTGCTGCTGGGGTTCGTGAAGCACTGCAAGGCCCAGCTGGGCCCTGGCCTGGGCTCTGGGCCCATGGCCCTGGAGCAGAACCTGTCAGACCTGCAGCTGCAGGCGGCCGTGGAGGTGGCGGGGGACCTGGAGGTGGACTGCTACCGTGCCCCCTGCTCCGAGAGCCAGGAGGAGCTGGCCCTGCAGCACTTCCTGAAGGAGAAGCTGCTGGCCGAGCTGGAGGAGAAGCTGCGTGTGTTCGAGAACATCGTTGCCGTCCTCAACAAGGAGGTGGAGGCCTCGCACCTGGCCCTGGCCGCCTCCCTCCACCAGAGCCAGCTGGACCGTGAGCACATCCTGAGCCTGGAGCAGAGGGTGAGCATGAGAGGCCCTCGGGGTCAGCTCAGGGAGGCCCCTGCCACCCATCACCAGAGCAGCAGGCCGGCCTCCCCCTAACATTCACAGAGCAGAGGCGCCCCGTCTCCTGGGCCCCAGGACCTTCCAGGCAGAGCCCGGGGTCAGAAGCCCCAGTCAAGGTCAACCCCGACCCCATCCAATGCTTCAGTTCCTTTGCGGGGCTGCTCCTGGGATAGGGTGCTCCCTCCGGCTCCGGGCAGCTCATTCTGTTGCTAGACACTTTTCACTAAGAGAAAGTTCTTCTTTCTACTAAGCTCATGTCTCTGTGTCTCCCCTGCACTGTTCCTAGCCCTTCCCCCTACCCTGGGTCCACAAAACAAGTTCAGCTTCAAGTCCCTTCAGAGATGGATAGTCAGTGACTATGTCCTAACCAGCCTTTCCTTCCTGAGGCCAAATGCCCAGGGTCTCTCCTGTCCTTCAGAGCCTRCTGTTTCCTGTGGTCTTCATATGCATGGGCTCAGTCTCTAAAGGATCATATTTGCTTGGAGCCAATATAATGGTCCCAGGTCCCAAATATAGTGGTCCCAGGCCCCAGACTGACTCCAGATAATCCACCCATCTGTCTCCTCCTTTATTCCAGAGCTTATACTTTTCCTGTCATATCCAGTCACTATGCTAATGTTGCTTTWTATTTTGTAGCAACACTGCATCATTGTCTCTACTGAGGGAGGCCTGGATTTTAGTTTTGGCTCCACTACTAACTTGCAGAGTAGCTCTAAGCAAGTCACTTTCTCAGAACCTCAGCTTCCCCATCAGTAAATCAGGGGTTGAATTTTCCTTAAGGGCCCTCACTTCAATTCCTGGCTCCCTCACCTGAGGATAGTTTTGTTCTTTCAGATTTCGTTGGGCAATCSCACTAGCAAGGCTGGGCACTGCTTAGAGTGGCCAAACAAAGCCTTTATTTATGGAACTTGCCGCAGGGAAAAGGTACATCTCCTGAGGACCTTGTCTTCTCCCCAGCAAACTTCCTGGCTGCCCTTTTACAGGCTGGCCCCCTGCCACATAGGAACACGGATGAAGTGAGCCTAGGCCCAGCTGGTCGGAAAGGCAGGCAGTCAGGCCTCCCAGACCACGGTCAGAGCCTTCTGAGAAAGTGGAGGAGAGGCCAGCTGAGCGAGGGCCAGGGGCGAAGGCCTCCCCAGGAGGGGCCAGGGGAGCTGCTTCCTGATGGATGACTAAGAGTCGGCCCCTCGCAAAGGAAGGGAAAGGGACTCCTGGCAGGAGACGTGCCAATGCAGATGTGTGTGCCCCGGGGGGTGGGGAGCAGGACAGCAGGTCAGGGGCATGTCYGCTCCACATCCCCATGCCGGGCTCCGGTGTCCCTGCCTGACTGGGCTTCCTGCAGGTGGTGGAGCTGCAGCAGACCCTGGCCCAGAAAGACCAGGCTCTGGGCAAGCTGGAGCAGAGCCTGCGCCTCATGGAGGAGGCCTCCTACGACGGCACCTTCCTGTGGAAGATCACCAACGTCGCCAGGCGGTGCCATGAGTCCGCGTGTGGCAGGACCATCAGCCTCTTCTCCCCAGGTAACAGGGCACAGTGACCAGGTGGGCAGGAGCCAGTGCTGAGACAGTCCACGGGGCCCAATAGGCCAGGGCCCAGGATCATGCTGGGACCAGGGACAGTGGGCATGCTGTGCCCTGACCTCTGGCCCTCAGCCACACACAGCAGTCAGTGGTTCTGAAAATAGGAATAAAAATCGTTAACCCGGAGGCTTTCTGTGTGAAAGAAAGGGCAACGTGAGCCACAGCCCGTGCAAATGAGGGGGATACTGTGGGACACCCCCCCCCCCACCGCCATGGAGAGCCCTGGTCTGCAATTAGACAAGGAGGGAACTGGGTCAGACCCGCTCGCGCTGGTGTCCGGTTGGTCTGACTGTGGGCAGCTCTTGCGGGTGGGTGGTGTGAGGGGAGCCATTCTTGCTCACTGCTGGGCCCTGGGTTTCCTTAACTCACTGACGTCTGTCGCTGTAACAGTACATGTCCTGTGCATGTAACGCTCCCATTCCTGTATACGTGGCTTCGGCCCCATCTGCACTGCACCGTGTGCTGGGGACTGGGCCACCACTGAGAACCTCCGTCACCTGGTGCCCGTTTCCTCGACATCATTCCGTAGTTGGACAAACTGAAGCCCAGGAAGGCTAGATCCCACCAAGGCTGTGCAGAAGCCAGATGTGGAGCGTGTGCTTCCCCCTCCCCACCCCACCCCCCGCCATGTCACTCCTGTGTGTCCAAGTGATCAGGGAGGGGCCAGGAAGGAGGAGGAGTCCCACCAGTCACCTGCGAAGCTGCTTCCCCCAGGAGACTGGGACAATGGCGAGGCAGCAGAGTGCTACCCCCCAGAGCAGGACCAGGTCCCAAAGCCGTTTCTTCTGCAGGGTGGACCTCTTCATGGGGTAGCCTCCTGCCCCCATGTGAGGCTAGACCTTTCCTCCTCCATCTTTCCACAGAGGGGACAAGCCAGCCTGCCTCTGGCTTCCTGCTCCACCAACACCCGGTGATGAGTCAGACCGTCAGCCCGCCCCTCCTCCACCACTTCCCGCCTGCCCCACACCCTGCCTCTGCCCAGGGAGGTGCCACCAAGCTKCCAGCTGTGGGAACTGGTTCCGATGGGATGGCCTTTAGAGCTGCCCAGAGCGAGAGCCCAGCCATTGGCCTAGGACAGCAGAAGGGACCAGTGTTGGGAGGTGGGGTCCTGCTCTGCCCCCAGCACCCAGTAGTCACGGCAGCCATTCTCCTTCGCGGGCTGGTCTCCTGGATCACACGCGGGCTGGTGAGAGCAGGGTTCTCCAAGAGGGTCCTAGAGCCAGAGCTTATTCTCTGGTATCCTTGGAGAGTTTATCAGAGTGCAGKTTCTCCGTCCTCACCAACACCACAGAGCCAGAGCTCAGGGCGGCCCTGCGTCTGTGATACAGAAGGCCAGCTGACAGCCATTAGGCTGCCCCACCTCGGGGAGCCCATCCCTCTTTGACTCGCTCATTGAGAAGGCGGCCGGGCTCCCAAGGAGCTTGCCTGGTTCTGAGCTGCTGACCCTGGGTGCACCTAACCGCAGTGCCYGGGTCTCCTCCTCTCCACCTCCGGGCTCTGCTGACCCCTGCTCTGCCTTGCAGCCTTCTACACTGCCAAGTATGGCTACAAGCTGTGCCTGCGGCTGTACCTGAATGGGGACGGCACCGGGAAGAGGACCCACCTGTCACTCTTCATCGTGATCATGAGGGGGGAGTACGATGCTCTGCTGTCCTGGCCTTTTCGGAACAAGGTATGGGCCTGGGCGAATGTGGGGGGAAGGGCAGACGACCTGTTTAGCCATGAACTGGCCGAGTGACCTGGGCACGTCCCCCCCCCCCCCGCCCCGTGTTTCCAGTTCCCCCTATTTTAAAACAAGAAGCTGAGTTTGGATCTAGTCAAGGCTCCCTCCAGCTCCTGAGCCCAGCAGCTAAAATGTCCAGAACAGYGAGCTCCCCAAGGGCAGGCGTGAGCGAGTGGAATTCACAGGGTGGTCTGATAAGGAAAACGTCCAGGAGGAGGTGCTCTGAGGCTAGGACGGAGGYGGATTCGCCGCCACGGTTAAGATGACCAAAATCCAGAACACTGACACCACCACATGCAGGGGAGCCCATGCCATGCTGGTGGGAATACAGAATGGCGCGGCCACTTTGGAAGACACGATCCCCCCAGTCATGCTCCTCGGTGTCTGCCCAGGGGAGGTGAAAACATGTCCCGGATGTTCATAGCACCTTTATACCTTACTGCTGACACTTAGAAACAAGCAGGGCATCCTTCAGCAGGAGAACGGGCCAGTGCCTATCCAGACAACGAAGCATTGCTCCGTGTGCATGCGCTGTCCAGCCACGGAAGGACGTGGAAGCCTAAGTGTGTGTTGCTGTTCAAAGAAGCCAGTCTTGAAAAGCCAGTCGTACTGTCTGATCCCCACTGTGGGTCATGAAGACAGGAAAAAAGATCAGTGGTTTCCGGTCGGTAGGGGAGAAAAAGGAAGGAAGAGACAGAGCCCAGAGGATTTTTGAGGCCCACAAAACTATTCCATATGATACTGTGATGATGGACACACGTCCTCTACACTTCTCAAAACCCACAGAATGCACCACACCAAGAGTGAACCCTAATGTGAACCACGGGCTCTGGTGGCCAACAGGTGCTCGAGCAGGTTCATCTTTGGTAGCGGGTGCACCTCTCTGGGGCAGGGTCTTGATAGCAGGAGAGGTGCCAGTATAGTGCTGGGGATGAAAAATCTCTGCACTTTCCACTCAGTTTTGCTGGGAACTTAAAACTGCTCTAAATAATAGTCTATTAAAAATGTTTAGGGCTGGGATTGTGGCTCAGCGGTAGAGCACTCGCCTAGCATGGGCGGGACCCGGGTTCAATCCTCAGCACCACATAAAAATAAAGGCATTGTGTTGTATCCATCTTCACCTAAAAAAATAAATTTAAAAAAAAATGTTTAAAGGAGGGTCAGGAGAGGCTGGGTATCCCGGCAGGTGAACAGCAGCATCTAGTGAGGGGAGGTGTCAAGGCTGCAGAGCTCAGCTGAGGTAGGGAGCCAGCCAGGTGGGTCTGGGTACGGTCAGTAGGCAGTGGTTCCCAAAGCTACTTCGGATGCTTTTTAAAAACACCAGCACTGAGACTCGCTCCAGCAAGTGGTAAGTGCTGAGCATCAGGACGGTTAACCCGCCCCGAAGGGATTCTAACCTGCAGCCAAGGTAAAGAACTACTTCAGTAGGAGAAGCAGCTTCAGTTCCTGACAGACATTTCAGAGACATGTGCCAGGGAGAGGGGTTCATCTGCTTCTTAGAAGAGCACACATCTGCTCTGTGAATACCAGAATTTGGGTCAGTGTCACTGGGCTTTGGTTGACAGCCCTGTCTGTTCCTGCCTCTCTGCTTGGACCCAGAGGTTCCAGCTGTGGTTGATGAGTCAGAAGTTTCTGAGCCATAGGGCACATTTAGGATACTGAGTCCAGCCTCCTGCCCCACCTTCAGCCCCCAACGGCCCAGTAAACCTGACTGTGGCATTGGGACATCCTCCAGCCTGCCTGCTGGGTGGGACAGCTGATCCGAATCCTAGGACAACCCCTGAATCTCCCCAGAATACCAGGTGCTTCTGTTTACAGGGGTCATGCTGTACCCTGAGAGTGTCCTTACATGGTTTCTTTGACTCTAGTCAGACCCAGCTAAGTGTCMCTGGGGCCACACAGGCAACCGGCACAGACCCCCACCTGGGCCTCCAAGCCCCAAGGCTGCCCAGGCCTGATCTCTCACCTGTCCCTGCCCTGCAGGTCACCTTCATGCTGCTGGACCAGAACAACCGKGAACATGCCATTGACGCCTTCCGGCCTGACCTGAGCTCAGCGTCCTTCCAGCGGCCTCAGAGTGAAACCAAYGTGGCCAGCGGCTGCCCGCTCTTCTTCCCCCTCAACAGGCTGCATTCGCCCAAGCACGCCTACGTGAAGGACGACACCATGTTCCTCAAGTGCATCGTGGAGACCAGTGCTTAGGGCAGGCGGGGCCCCTGAGGGAGGACCAGCTGAGACTGGGGGCCTGGCACCCACCACCCTGGGACACAGGATGATCCAAGACTGACATGATCTGTGCAGGACCGGCAGGTTCACGTGGCCGCTGTCAGGATGGCGTGACCTTGGGCTGGGCCGTACAGGCAGAGGACTAAAGGAGGCGGGCGGGGTGCTCCCGTCCTTGCAGCCCGTGCAACACTGGTAGGCCCAGGAGCGGCTSCACCCTGAATGTTGATGTACCCCGAGGGGCGCCCAGTGAGCCTGAGCAGAGAAGCTTGCAGGATAGGAGGGTCTCTGCAGGGCCCCAGTGGAGAACTGGCCACATGCTGTCTCCCTGCTCAGGGCCAGAACAAGGACCAGGGGAAGGGGCAGGAGCCAAAGTGGGTTCAGTCTGTCCAGACCTGGACTGARGCCCTCGTCACCAGAGGACCACGTGAGGGAAAGGGCATCAGCCTGGAGGCTGCATTTGCGGACCTTTAATGTTTCTTAGAACCAAGGAAGCCCCATTCCACACCTGCTGGCCCAGGGCAGCCGAGTGCCGCAGAGACTCCTGGGAACATTCAGGAGCCTCCCGCCCTTGGGTCCCTCCGTCACCTTCAATGCCACCAGGCKGGCTGAGCTGGCCCACACCTCCCCCTCCCCTGGGGCCTGGAAGCTCGGTTTCCCCTGTGAGCAGACACAGCCCCTGTGCCTGGTGTCTCCACCAGCCAGAGCCCCCCTTCCCTTCATAAGACCAGGTCACTGCAGGCCCCGGGGAGCAGCCKTTGAATGTGGAGAAGGGCAGGGGGCAGAGACCGCTTTCCACTTCCCCCGCCTGGAGGCCCTCACTATCCAAGTTACTCACTTCTCAGGTTTGACTAATCAGGACCGCTGGGCACCGGGCAGAGGTTGACCTTTTAAATGTGTATAACAACCAAAGAAAGAATGTTTTTTCAAATCTCTTTGAGGTTTTCATCCAGTATACGGTCGTGGTCATCCCAAGCCACACATGAGAAGGCCGTCACTGAGCCGGAGGTGGTACGGCCAGTTTTGCGGGTGGCATCAGAGGCCGCTGTGCCACAGGCACATGCCCCYTCGGCCTCAGTCTTCTCCTTTCTGTAATGGGGAGACCCTCCCCAGCCTGCCTCCCGTGGTGGGTTCTGTGATAATGCTCCAGGCAGGTGACACACAGGAGGGGCTGGAGAGAGGAGCCCCTGCAGCTTCCTGCCTGTCACAGTGGGTTGGTGGCCCTGGCTTGTCTTCTCGCCTCCCAGGGGCCCTGAGACTTCCCATGCCACTTAGGGCATCAGGTCAGGCCCTGACCCCTCACCCCTGCAGCCTCCCCGACGGCTTACTGGGGCTGCAGTTGACTTCAATCCTCAGGGCTTTGGGTTCTCATCTGTGAGATGGGTCATTTGCCTGCCTGTTTCCCCTAGCGCAGGGTCGGGGAGTCAAAAGACCTGACAAGAGCAATTTTAGGGGAGGAAAAGCGCATTTGGTGCTGTTGGTTTCAGAGGTCTCAGCTCCGTCCCTCTGCCCGAGGTGATGCAGAGCATCATGGTGGAGGAGAGCAGCTCAGGACATGGCAGCAGGAAGCAGAGAGAGACTACTCTGTTCACCAGGGACAAAATATATACGCCAAGGGCATGTCCCCARTGCCCCACCTCCTCCATCCACACCCCCCCTGCCTAAGTGACCACCCAGTTAACCCATTCAGGTGGATTAACACACTGATTAGCTTAAGGCTCTCCTATCCCAATCCCTTCACCTCTGAATGCCTCACTGTTGTCTATCACATGAGCTTTGGGGGACCACCTCATAGCTGAGCCGAGGCACGGACATCCGGGACGGTAAGGTAAAAGCTCCTCTCTTGCTTGTCCTCCCTGGGGAGTTACCTGTCTGTCCCCATGCACATCTGGTGGGGGTGAGGGCAGCCTCATGGCCATCAGAGTGTTCAGTGTCCAGAGACTCCATCCTCTCTGCTATGGACTTGGCCAGTCACCTGCCATCTCTGGACTCCACTGTGGACGGTGGGCGGTGGCAGATGCAGGCCAGCTGCACTGACCTCGCCGGAGTCTGGGCACTGACTGCTGGACTGAGGGAGGCTTCTTGCCACTGGGAGTGTTGGTGGGGTCTTTGCTCTGCCGAGGCCCCTGCATCTTGGGGAGCTTAGGATCTGGCCCTGCCTGCCCTCACAGGGCCACTGGTCAACATCCTCACAGCCCATGGCTCTGTTCCTGGGGTCAGGATGTGCAGATCACTTGAGACCTTATCCCCAGCCTCAGCCTGGCGTCTGGTCGAGATTGAATGCGTTGGAGTCCAATAGATCCAACAGTCCAGTTCTGGTCCTGGCTCTGTTACTTAGCGTCCTCAGGCAAGTTATGTAATTTCTCTAGGCCTCAGTTCCCCATCTATAAAATGGTGCTAGTAACTTCCACACTTTCAGGGGTGTTGAGGAGTTGAAGTCAGGCAGTGCACGGCAAGAATTGGTAGAGGTAGCTTGGTGAGCTTTCTAAATGGCATCGACTGTTACTTCCACGGCCACTGTTACCAGTTCAACCCTTGGCCCTCAGCCCACTGATGGGAGCCAGAAATCATGACCATAACACCCCCCTTCCCAATGGTCTGGCTCTGCCTCCCAATCCCTGCTGACCTCAGGCTGGTCCTTCCCCTTGCAGGGCCTTGGCCACCCGCCTAGATGTAAGAGGGTAGGAACCACAACCTCTTCACCCCAGGCCACAAGAAATGGCCCAGAGCCAGACATTCAGGAAGCAGTGACTAAGGGCTATTCCACAGGCTGGGCACCCAGTCCCTCRGAAGTTGATTCTGCAAAGCCCTGATCTGCAGCTGGCCAAGAGGGAGTAGATGCCCCACCCCTAGGCTGATGCTGCCTAATGGTGAGCTGGGTGGGCAATGTGCCCAGCRCTCCTTTTGGATTGCAGTCAGGTGTTTTCAAAGCCCGCGTGGCCCTGGACCCTGTCCTTCTGCCCAAGGTCTCTTTGCAGGTCAGCCTAGGATGGGGTGGAGCAGGAATGCAGGGTGGGGGTTGGGGGGAAGGAAGGACCTGACAGAGACAGAGCTCCCCTCCTGCTCCTGTCTGGCTCCTGCCCGTGGCTGGCCCTGTTCATTAGTGTGGATGACACTTTGGCTCAGCAGTAGTCTGTCTGGGGGCACCTGTGGAGACTGTGAAGTGAGCACCCAGAATCTCAGGCCTGAGGGAGCCTGCAGAGAGTCTCTCACTCCAGCCACCTGCCCACTGGGAGCTGGGCACAGGGAAGGTGCACGAGGAGCTCAGGGGAGCCAGCACCAGGCCCCAGGCTCAGTCTTCTCCCAAGTCTCAAAAGGCTCTGGCCTGATCCTGTGCCCCCGTCAGACCACCTCACTGCCCCACAGGAASAGCAGAGCTGGGGGAGGGCTGAGCTTTGGGCAGGACGTTTGCCAGGAGGGAAAGCCTGCTAGCTGCTGTCCCCAAGGCTTTCTAGAAGAAGGCAGAGGACCAAAAGGCTCTGTGGGCTTTGCAGGCACCTAAGGTTCTCCAACCTGTCCAGGGCACTGCAGGCCAGGCAGCCGGGGTGCAGTAGTTCTCGCCCCTAAAGGCAGATCAGCCTTGGCCACAGCTAAGCCATAGCTCCAGTGTCGGGTGTCTCTGTGACCCTTTTACACAGCGCTCCATTTCTGGCCCTGTTYGCCTTTTTGCCATGGGGCAGGGAGCCAAAGCTCAGAGAGGGCACRGGGAATGTGGCATGGTGGGACCGGCTGGACTGTCAACTCACTGGGAACCTCTGGCAAGCTCTTCTTTACTCTGGGCCTCAGTTTTCCCATCTGTAAAATGAAGCAGGTGAACCATATGGTCCCTGGGGCCCCTCCTTGAACTGAGGTCTTTTGCACGGGGCAGCAGCACCCCTAACCTGCCACTAGACCTCCTTTATAGATAAATAGGTACCTACACACTGGTGGCTCGATGCAGATTAGCCTAGGCAGGGAACACTCTCCCYGGAGCCTCCAGATGAAGCGCAGCCCTGCARCACCTTGACTTGGGCCCCATAAGTCTCATGTCAGATTTCTGACCTCTCGAACTATGAGRATAGATTGTTACAGGTTTAAGCCCTTAAGTTTGTGGTCCTGTTACAGCAGCCACGGAACACTGATGCCCATGGYGAACTGTGGCTACATCAAATTGAGATGGCGTAAGTCTAAAACACATAAAAGATTTGGAGGACTCCATAGAAAAGAGAATTTAACTTATTGCTTATTTTTTATATTGACATGCTGAAATGATAAAAATTTTGACAGATTAAATATATTATTGACATTAACTTCACCTGTTTTTTTTTTTTTTTAACTTGCCTTCTAGAAAACTTAGATTTACATCTGTAGCCACTGGACAGCCTTAAGGGTCTTTCTCATTGCCTCAGCCAGGAGGAGCAGTGTTCTGCAGCCAGCTCTGTTGGAGCTRGGGATAGGGACCTTCCCTAGGAAAGGAATCCCCCCATCCCTACACCCACTGCAGGTGAGGAGTCCTGCTCCCTACCCCCTCTCCTTCACTCCCATCTGCGTCTGGATCAGGCCATGTCCTTCCAAGATGTGACAGCTATTTTTAGTGCTCACAGCCTCAGCACAGCTGGTTTTGAAGCTTGCTGGATGTGCGCCAGCTCTGGGATTTCCATCTGCCTGCTAATGGGGGTCTTGAGAGAACCTGATTCCATGGCCTGGAGCCTTCCAGGGCCTGTGAGCAAGCTCCCAACACCCTGGCAGGTATAGATGATCTTAAGCCCCAGGTTTTCAGATGATAGAATCAAACCAGGAGGTGGCCAAGCTGGGCTTGGAAGCAAGGTGTTCTAGACTGAGGCTTCCTCCAACATTTCCCAGCGACTGGGGCTGTGGGTGCTGCCCACTTAACTCAGAATGATGACCAGTCTCACGTAGGCTTTCTAAGGGGGTGTTCTATGCCTTGGAAAGTATTCTTCATGTGTGCATGATGCTGGAGATTGAACCCAGGGCCTCGCACAAGCTAAGCATGCGCTCTGCCACCGAGCTACACCCCAGCCTTAGGAAAGCATTCTAAGTGGGACAAGAGCAAGCAATTGATTTGGTGGGTGGGTAGATGAGACTTGGCTTCAGGTTGTACAACCCAACATCTCCAGTTGAAGTGAGTCAGAATAATAAAACGGATCCATACAAACATAATAACTACCCAAAAGCCAGGGTTGCCTGGTTGTGGTTCAGAACCCGAGCCCTGGCACTGGGAAGACCTGGGTTCCCATTCCTGTCTCATCTCCAGCACTCCCTGGCTTGGCTCCTCTAAGCCTCTGTCTCCTCCACTCCACCACTGGCTTGACAGTGGTTAGAGGAGGAAATGAGATCTTGGACAGAAGCGCTTAGCACTGCATCTGTGCTAGAGAGTTCTCAGTAAATACGAGCTATCGTSGGGCCAAGGGTGCAATAAGTGCAAACCACTTGCCCAGCAAATGCAAGGCTCTGGGGTTGATCCCGGTACCACAGGAAAAATCAACTCACAAAACAACTCACGGGGGAGTTGCTGATATTAATGAATTTCACAGACAGAGAAACTGAGGCTGAAGGAAGTGAGGCCACTCTTCAAGGACACACGGCTGGGGAGTTTGGGGGTAACAACTTTAGGAACATGTAACCCCATACACCATGTGATTCACTCACCTACAGTGTGCATTCAGAGGCACAAGGTGTGTTCATAGAGTTCTACACCCAACGCSGCACAATCAATTTAGCTCCAGGGTATGCAGCCAACATTTCCAAATGAAGTGGGTCCAAATAATAAAAAAAGATTCATACAAACACAGAAACTAGATTAAAACCAGGAYTGCCTCGTGGTTAAGACCCAAGTGCTAGTATCAGGAAGACCTGGCTTCCCATCCCTGACTCATCATTCAGAGCCAAATGATTTTATACCCAGAGAAACCCTGTACCCTTACCAGAACCCCCCACCCCCCACACACACAGCC